AGTGAGTTCCAGGACAGGCCCCAAAGCTACAGAGAAACCAAGTCTTAAAAAACAAAACAAAAAAATTGGAATCCACCTGCCCCTGCTTCCCAAATGCAGAGATTAAAAGCAGGCAGCACCATGCGCTCGGCATTTTATAACAGTCTAGTGGTTTGGGGACCTAACCCCACTGCTTGCCAGCCTTGCAGGCTGGGAGGTGATAGGCACGGTTTGCTCAGCATTGATGAGTTCACCTCTCTGACCCCCATGGACCTGGCACATGCTGAATGGGTATTGAGTAGGGTAAGAGTCAGTTCAGCCACACAGTGCCCAGTTTAATCCACTGTGCAGTGGGCAGGGGCTTCAGGGAAGTGACAGGCAGATGAGCGCCCTCCACCCTGCTTCCCATCCTGCATTCCTTTCTGCTTTGCTGTGTGTGTGTGTGTCTCTTTTTCTTGTGTCTGTCTCTTAAAATTAGGGTCTTGCTTTGTAATCCAGGCTGGCTTTAAACTCACAACAATCCTCCTGCTTCAGCTTTGTGAGGGCTGGGGTTACAGATAGGTCATACTATGTCCAATTTTCTTTTTTTTTCTTTTTTTTAATATTTTTATTTATTTATTATGTATACAGCATTCCTTCCATGTATGTCTGCAGGCAGAAGAGGGCACCAGACCCCATTACAGATGGTTGTGAGCCACCATATGGTTGCTGGGAATTGAACTCAGGACCTTTGGAAGAACAGTCAGTGCTCTTAACCTCTGAGCCATCTCTCCAGCCCCCTATGTCCAATTTTCTGAGGAAACTTTTTTGTTTTGTTTTTCAAGACCAGGTTTTTCTGTGTAGCCCTGGCTGTCCTGGAACTCACTCTGTAGACCAGGCTGGCCTCAAACTCACAGAGATCTGCACGCCTGCCTCTGCCTCCTGAGTGCTGGGATTAAAGGTGTGCACCACCATCCAGCTTGAGGAAACTTTGAAACACCTAGAACCAGCAACCTCATTAGGGCCATTTCTGTTCTAGCTCCTGATGAACCAGGCTCTGCTACCTGACTCAGGAGCCTTCTGGGAGCCTGAGCACTGCTGCTGCTGTGTCTGGTTCTCCAAACCCAGATACACAGATGCTCCCACCCCATCTGTCTCCCAGTCACTAGCTGCCATGTCACCCGGTGAGTCTCCCAGAAGACATCATGGAGGGACAGGAATCACAGACAGGGCAAAGGCCAAGGAAGGAAGCAGCCCAGCCCAGCTAGGGGTCACAGTGGAGCTGTGCACGGCTCATGCCGGTGTCACTGAGAGCTGAGCAGACCCAGAGCTAGGAGGGTTGACTTGAACTGTTCTGCACAGGTCTGCTTAGAAGAAGAACAGAACACTCTGCTTTTCAGAGTCCTCCCTGTGGGAGGGGAGGAGGTACCTGGCCTAACTCCCAGGCTTTCGGGGCTGGGAGCCCCAGCCTGCTACTCTGTAGGGGAGGCATGACAGTAGGTAGCATGTCCAGCCTGTCTGAGGCCCTAGTCCCTGTGACCAGAGGTTGGTTCCACCTGTGCTGACCAGTAACTTGCCTGTAAAACCCACTCTGCCTCTCTGGGATTCTACTTCTTCACCTGGGCAGCTGAGTAGACACCAGGGAGAAATCTGGATGGAGACTGCCAGGCAGAGTCCCCTGCTCATCAGCCTCCTGATAGATCTGTCTCTGCCTGGCACTTGCTTGCGGAAAGTTCTAGTTTGTGGCTCTTAATTGAGGGAGCGGAGTTGGAGCCTTACGGATCCGTGTGTGGGGTCACTGCAGCTCATGGCACGTCACCAGTGAACACTGGATCCTGGGGTCTGGGGGGGGGACGGACCGCTGACAGTGTTTGGACTGGAGATGGGCTTGGCTCTGTCTGCACTGGGGCACCGAGATGTCTGACTACCAAAGGGCAGTACTTTCTGAGCCTCAGCTCTGGCCCCAGCAGCCATCTTCAAAGCTACTATCCCAGCTGCTTGGCTCCAGGATGTCATGTGACCTCCCAGCTCTATGGTTGCCCTGATGTGGCTTTCCAAAGGACAGGACTCAGTGAGGTCTCCAAAACCTGTCTTGGGGCTGAGGAGGGCTTGCCCTGGGCCCTGACTGCAGCCCAGGACTCAGTCTAAGCTGTGTTCCTGGGCCCAGCTGACATTTCCAGGTCATCCTGAGCTTGGCTGCTCCAGCCAGCCCGACTTCGGGGGTTAACCAGCCCTCACTGCGACCTCTCCTGTCCCCATGGGACCTATGTGCACCCCAGATCTCTTTTTTCAACATGAGCTCCTCTTTCCATCCTGCTTATCGATCAGGTCGCATTACACCCTCTGGCCCTTCGAACGCTCGGAGGCTCCCTACCACAGTTTGGCCTGCACGGGTGAATACAGCCGGCGTTCCCATTCCTGTCCCAGACCCCTGCCTCATGCCTCACCATGGGGAACCCAACGCTGCATGGCCAGCACTTGGGCTCCGTTCACAGGACTGCTGACCACCATGTCCCCTGAGCTCTGTACAGCAGAAGAGCAAGGACCTCAGCTAAAGCCACTGCCATGGAGTTCAGGAAATGGAGCCTGGGTGGTGTGGTCCCACCATCCCTCCTGAAGGTTACTTCGCCAGGCGTGGACACTGGGCCTCTCTTTCTTGCTGTCCTGCCTACAGCAAGTCATCGTATAGGGAACACCTACAGAGAGTGGCTGTGCCTACCAAGTACTTGCCTCTTTAACAACCTGTTCTGATTCTAATTCTGCCTCTGCAGGGGGTGGGGGACAGGGTTGAGGACAGCAGTGACAGCTGCAGGAGGAGCTGTACTGTGAGGTGGCCTGAGAACTGGCTTGGGAAGACACAATAGTGTGGGCAGAAAGAGAGAGAGAGAGAGAGAGAGAGAGAGAGAGGTGGGGAGGTGTCTGGGCATCTGTGAACCTGCTTCAGGACCCTCACGTGTGGAATTCCATGTGTGTTCAGGTGCTGTGTAGCTCAGATTTCTCTGCAGATGGCTGACTTGATGAAATGACAGGAACTTTTGCAGGGTCTATCAGCTTGAGACTCCTGAGCATCTTAGGCTATGTCAGAGCAGGTCAAGGCTGGTGAGGGACTGTGAGGCCCTCGGTGATGGCTACACTGTGGGCAGCGAGCAAGCCCCTCGGTACCTGCATCTCACCTCACTGTGGCACCTCAGGGTTGTGGCATCTCAGGGCTGCTGTGTCTTAGCTTTTCTCTGCTTTCCTGGCCCAGGACAGCTGAATGTGGCAATCTTCCCCTCATCTACCAGTGTGGCCTTATGGGGAGAGGCTGTGCTGGCCACGTTGACACAGGCTGCCCAGCTTGCTCAAGACATTATGGGCGTCTGGCCAGGTCAAAGGCCTCCTCTGAAATCATTCTCTGCAGTCCTGGCCAATGACCCTTTGGACCCCATGAGCTGATTTCTGTCCCCCCAGGAAGGAGAGGCAGAGGATGACATGCCTGTAGCACATGCAGGGAGGGTACACTAACCCAGGCAGCAGGCCTGAGGGCCAGGGCCAGAGGCACAGGCTGTGCTCTGGGACCTGGGAATGCCTCTGCCACCCTTTCAGCCCTCAGCTTCGGCATGCCACTCTGTGAAGGACGGACGGGAGACCTACTTACTAGACGGGACGTGGGGGGCACCTCAGGGAGAGGCCAGCTTTATCCAGCCTAAGGCAAAACGTCCTGGGTCCACAGGACCAGTGGACAGGATTGCTTTGCAGTTTCCAGGACAAACGGGCTTTGCCGAGCTGGGGGAGGGGTGCTCAGGGACTGTATGAAGGTAGCCATTGTTCAGTGTTATGCTTCTCTGGTTTAGGGATGCAGGATCAGTACTACAGATTAGTGAGCCAGTGTCTACACTGAGGTGAGGGTCCTCCTGGGAGCACTGAGGCTCCCTCCACACCAGTGAGTGCTCGTGATGTTTCAAGGACAGGCAGGATAGCTACAGGGCCTGAGTCACCATGAGGAGAGGGGAGGTTTCTGGATCCACAGGCTGGGCCCCTGCGTCAGTCTCAAAGATAGGAATTCGCGTGGCGTCTAAGATGAATAGGTGTTCCCAGGCAGTGGCCTCTCCCTCCCTTCCTCTGTACCTTCTTGAGTCATGCGCACACTGGCTTAGGGGCACTTGATGCTTCCACGTGTTTGGGTTTTTGTTTGTTTGTTTGTTTTGTTTGTGTGTGTTTTCTGAGACAAATTTTCTCTGTTTATATAACAGTCCAGGCTGTCTTGGAACTCGCTCTGTAGACCAGGCTGGCCTCGAATTTACAGAGATCCACCTGCCTCTGCCTCCCTAGGGCTGGGATTAAAGGCGTGCTGTGTGTTTTGTTTTTTCGAGACAGGGTTTCTCTGTGTAGCCATGGCCATCCTGGACAACCAGGCTGGCCTCAGACTCACAGAGATTCATCTACCTCTGCCTCCTGAGTGCTGGGATTGGAGGCGTGCGCCACGAAACTGGCTCATGCTCTCCATGCTGGAGGCCAGAGGCCACTGTCCTCAGGGCCGGGTCAGATTCCTTGACAGGCCACTGGGGCCTCTGGTCACTAGGACACTGCAGGGAGGTGGCATCTGCTGGGTTCCAAATGTTTGACCCCCATCTGTCTCCACCCCACTATAGGTGGCAGCAGGGTCCCCGTATCCAGCTCTGCTACACAGTGACATGAACTTTGCAGATTATTTATAGTTTAAGCCATAGAATGAAGTTTGCTGTCAGCCTGTTACTGGTGTTCCATTTTAGACAAAAGTCAACGGTGCCATAGTGGACACGGTGTCTGTCTTCAAGCCACAAGAAACACACCAAGAAAACACCAACCCCTAATTTCTCCAGAACCCAAACAACCTCTCACTTGTAGTTCTCAGGGACAAGCCTGACAGGGACGTGGCCTTTGGCCCTTCTAGACTGATTAGTTCAAATTTAATTAGGAAGGGCACATTTCCTAATCCTGAGCATGAGTGAAATGTTTTATCGGAAACTTGCTGCCAGGGTACCCAGCTAGTTACCCGAGAGCTAGCTCCTGTTGCCTGGGCTGTGAGGAAGTCAGGAAGCAGGTAGGTGCCTGGTTGTGTGTGTGTGTGCGTGTGTGCGTGGTGTGTGTGTGTGTGTGTGGTGTGTGTGTGTGTGTGGTGTGTGTGTGGTGTGTGTGTGTGCTGTGTATGTGTGGTGTGTGTGTGTGTGTGTGTGTGGTGTGTGTGTGGTGTGTGTGTGGTGTGTGTGTGGATGTGTGTGTGTGTGTGTGGTGTGTGTGTGTGTGGTGTGTGTGTGGTGTGTGTGGTGTGTGTGTGGTGTGTGTGTGGTGTGTGTGTGGTGTGTGTGGTGTGTGTGGTGTGTGTGGTGTGTGTGTGTGGTGTGTGTGGTGTGTGTGTGTGGTGTGTGTGTGTGGTGTGTGTGGTGTGTGTGTGTGGTGTGTGTGGTGTGTGTGTGTGGTGTGTGTGTGTGTGGTGTGGTGTGTGTGGTGTGTGTGTGGTGTGTGTGTGGTGTGTGTGGTGTGTGTGTGTGTGTGTGGTGTGTGTGGTGTGTGTGTGGTGTGTGTGTGGTGTGTGTGGTGTGTGTGTGGTGTGTGTGGTGTGTGTGTGTGGTGTGTGTGTGGTGTGTGTGGTGTGTGTGGTGTGTGTGGTGTGTGTGTGTGGTGTGTGGTGTGTGTGTGTGAAGGGAGACAGTGGGAGGGAGATGTGCACTCCTTGCTCCTCCATTGCTGACTTCAGGGCGCAGTTTTCAAGGGTAAGGATGAAGGGCAGCACTGTTGACCTGGGGTCAGACTCAACCCAAACTCTCCTGCATCTTCATTTTGAATTGTAAACAGAACTTTTCAGGTACTACAGGTATATAGGTTCTTATAGGTGGAGGGAGGCCGGGCGGTGGTGGTGCATGCCCTTAATCCCAGCACTCGGGAGGCAGAGGCAGGTGGATCTCTGTGAGTTCGAGGCCAACCTGGTCTACAAGAGCTAGTTCCAGGACAGCTCCATGCCTACCGAGAAACCCTGTCTTGAAAAAGAAACCCCAAAAAACAAAACAAAACAAAGCAAAAAATGTGGAGAGAGAATTCTCATTTACGTTTTTGTTTTTTTGTTTGTTTTTTTGTCCTGGCTGTCCTGAAATCCACAGCTCTTGAGCTCACTGAGATCCACCTGCCTCGAGTGCTGAGATTGAAGATGAGCTCCACACCAGAACTGTCTCAGAGGCACTTCTAGAGCAGGGAGCAGTCAGGTGTGATGGTGCACACGTTTGAACCCAGCACTGGACAGGCAGAGACAGGAGGATCTCTGAGTTCCTGGCCTGCCAGAGTTACATGGTGAGACCCTGTCTTTTTGTTGTTTGAGACAGGGTTTTTCTGTATAGCCCTGGCTGTCCTGGAAGTCAGAGATCTGCCTGCTGCCGCCTCCTAACTGCTGTGAGTAAAGTCGTGGCCACCACCACCTGGCAGAGAGATCCCAGAGAAAGAAATGTCAGGAAATAGTCGTCTTACCTTCTCCAAATTATCTGTAAGATTAGAAAAGGACTGAGAGCCGGCCCGATGACACATACCTGTAACTCGAGAACTTGGGAGGCAGAAGTAGTAGGGTCATGAGTTCAAGCCTAGCCTGGCTTAGATAGTCTTAACTCAAAAATCCAAAAATAGCTGGGAAGTGGTGGCGCACCCCTTAAATCCCAGCACTCAGGAAGCAGAGGCAGGTGGATCTCTGTGAGTTCAAGGCTAGTCTGGTCTACAGAGCGAGTTCCAGGAGTAAACTCCATAGCTATTGAGAAACCCTGTCTCGGAAAAACAAAAATTCAAAATTGGAGGACTGAGAAATGGCTCAATGGGTAAAAGTGCTAGTTGTATAAGTCTGCAACCTGAGTCCAATCCCCAGAACCCATGTGAAGGAGGGAGCTAACTCCACTAAGTTGTCCACGTGGGTGAGGGGTATGCAAGCTCTGTGCCCCCAGACACACACATACACATACCACCACCACCACCACAATAATAAATACATGAACCAGTACAACTGTACGTAGGTAAAAAAACAAACCAAACAACAGAAAAACAGGCATGGTGGCGCCTGCCATAATCACAGCCCTGTGGAGGTGGAGGTAGGAAGTTGCGAGTTCAAGGTCATGGTTATACAGCAAGCTCAAGACCATCTTGGGGGGTATGAGACCCTGTCTCAAAACCATAAAACATATACAGGCAAAAACAAACAAAAAAGCCAAATCAATACTAAGAGCATATCACAGCAGAGTCAAGTTCACAGCGGCCTCACACCAGGTCTGCAGTGGCTTCGACCCTCACTTGAGCGTAAAGTGCTGGGCAAGGTTTAAGACCTGTCTGTGATGACATAGCTCTATAAACCAGGGCTATAAAGTACCATTTTACAGTGCTGGGGGCAGAACTCAGGCTTTGTGCATGCTGAGCACACACTCCGGCCCAGCTAGGAGAAACGCTCAGCTGATAAAGGTCCCATTGAGAAGCAGACAGCAATCATCACATTTAGAAACTTCAGCCTAATCCCCTTCAGTTTAGGATACAACACAACTACTGTGGCCACTCCTGTTACCATGGTGCTCGGAGGCCCAGCCAGCTCTGTAAGAAAAGGAAAAGGAGTGTATGGATTGGAAGGAAGACATCATCATCCACTCAGGAGAAAGACTCAAAGCCAGATTGTAAAGGCCTATTCAGGGGCTGGGCAGGCGGCTCCACCCACACTCCAGAACCTCTCTGCAGCAGTTGTAGGACCGAACAGGCCTGCCACCACCTTGCAATAAAATTTTCCTGGCACAGCCCCAGGTGTAGCGTCCGGGCCTGGATGGGAACACTCCTCAGGGCCGGGTACCTGCTCACCAATCTAGGAAGCTAATTCTGATGCTTGCTTTATACCCTGGTTTTTAAAGTTCAAGTTCCCATTTTTTTCAAGATGAATCTCCAGACCAGTTTTTCACTTAAGCTGTTCTGGGGGGAGGGGGCTTGGGCTCCTCCACTGGCTCTGTCCTCAGGGCTCTTCTAAACTCCCAGGATGCTGGGGCTCTTAGCCTGCTGTCTGCTATAATGACCTCCCTTGGTGTCCCTAAGTGCCACAAAGGAAAACAATTAAGAAATCCCTAGTGGCTTGATGAGAATTATAAGCATCCTGTTAGGATCTGCAGTGGCCACCAAACAACGCACTCAGCAGGATAAGGCACTTCCTACACAGACTTGTCTGGATTTTGTCTGCCGTGGTGAGCCATCTCTCAGGCCCCTTAAGTCATTTTTATTAAGGAGTAATTAACATACAATGGTGGGCATCTTTCTAGAACTTCCTGGCAATTCATCTACTTTTTTTTTTTTTTTTTTTTTTTTTTTTTTTTTTTTTTGGTTTTTCGAGACAGGGTTTCTCTGTAGCTTTGGAGCCTGGGATTAAAGCCTTTGGAGTGCTGGGATTAAAGGCGTGCGCCACCACCGCCCGGCAATTTATCTATTTTGTAAAGTGTGTACTCAAACACTTCAGTAAGTTTGGTTTTCCTTTTTCTTGAGCCAGAGTTTCATGTGTCCCAGGGTGGCCTCAAACTTGTGATTCTGAATTTCTGATCCTCCTGCCTCTCTCTCCTGAGTGCTGGGATTATAGGTGTGTACCATCACCCTCCCTTTACCTAGTACTGGGGATTGATTCTTTTTTTGTTGTTTTTGTTTTTTCGAGACAGGGTTTCTCTGTAGCTTTGGAGCCTCTCCTGGAACTAGCTCTTGTAGAGACCAGGCTGGTCTTGAATTCACAGAGATCCTTCTGCCTCTGCCTCCCGAGTGCTGGGATTAAAGGTGTGCACCACCACCGCCCGGCTGTTTTTGTTTTTTGTTTGTTTGTTTGTTTGTTTTGGAGTACTGGGCATTGAATCCAGGACTTTGTGTATGCTAGGGCAAGCACTCTACCAACTGAGCTATTTATCCAAATCCCTTTTTATCAATTCAGATGTTCCAGATATGAGTCTAATATGTTTTTGTTTGTTTACCTGTTTTGAGACAGGCTCTCACTGAGTAGCCAAAGCTGGCTTCCAATTTGTGATTCTTCTGCCTCAGCCTCTTGAGTGCTGGGAGTACGATGTACGCTGCCAGGCCTGGTGACTTTATTTGCAGTGTTGGGGGTTAAACTGGGGCCTTCCAGGGCAGACGTAATGGCTCAATGGCTAAAAGTACTTGTTGCTCTCGCAGAAGATTGGATTCACTTCCAAGCACCCATTTGGTAATTCAAAACCCTAACTCCAGTTCAGGGGAATCCAATGCCTTCTGTCTCCCGAAGGCACCAGGCACACGTATGATGCATTCACATGCAGGTAAAGCACTCTCACATACAAATAAATCTAAAAATAAAAAATTAACTGGGGCCTTCGACAGCAGATGAGTGTGCTGTCTCTGAGCGCTCGCGCGCGCGCACACACACACACACACCGCCGGCCTTTTTAGTCTGTTTTTGTTTTAGAGACCGGGTCTCCCTAGTAGTAGCTCTGGCTGGTCTAGAACTCCCTATGCACACAAGCTGGCCTCAGACTCAGAGATCTCCCTGTCTTGCTTCCCAGGTGATGGAGTTAGAGGTGTGTGCTACCATGCCTGGCATTCTCCTTTGTTCTTGATGTGTTCCTGGGAGTGGACCATGTGATGCGGGAAGAGCAGTGCTTCCCGCCGGGCGTGGTGACTCTAGGGAAGCAGAGGCAGGTACAAGTCCCCCTCTCGTCCCCTCTCTTGCTTGTTATGTGGTACGTTTGCCAGTGTAGGTAGGCAGAGGGATATGGGGATCAGGCTACCACCAAAAGGTGGCAGTTACAGGTTCTTCCTAGGGGCCTTCTCAACTTGCTGAATTGTTTGGTTTTGAGAGAGTGTCTCTGTTGCCCCAGCCAGCCTAGAACTAAAGTCTCTCCCACTGTCTCAGCCTCCTCGATGCCAAAATTACAGGGCTGAGAAATCAGACCCTGGTTGAATTTATTGTTTTTTAATTAATTAAAATTTAAACATTTAAAAAATCTTCATGTGTATTTGCATGAGTTTATGTGCATCACATGCACGCAGAGGCCAGAGGGTTCTGCATCCTGGCACTAGAGTGGAATTACAGGCAGCTGTGAGCTGTCATGTCGGGGCTGGGAACCCAGTCTCAGGCCTGTGTAAGAACAGTCAGTGCTCTTAACCACCGAGCCATCTCTCCAGCCAGCTGTGTTTCAGTGATCATATTATCACCATCATATCACTATTGTTGTGCGGGCATTTGTATAGGTGTGTGTGACTCCAAGTGCACACATGTGGAGGTTAGGGACAACTTTCAGGACTCGGTTATCTCTCTCTCTCTCTCTCTCTCTCTCTCTCTCTTCATTTGTTTTGGTTTTTGAGACAGGATTTCTGTGAGGCCTGGCTGTACCTGCCTCTGCCTCCAGAGTGTTGGAATTAAAGCCTTACCACCACTCCTGAGAAGTTCTTACCATCGCAGGCTTGGGCCATCAGGCTAGTGGGGCAGGCACTTGTTTTACTTGCTGCCCCAACTTGAAGTTTTGAATGGCTGTTGTTTTCAGACCACGGCTCACTGGGATTACATGTGCCACAATGCCCCATTGATTTTTTTTTTTGTTTGTTTGTTTCAGACAAAATCTCACCATGAACTCTGCCTGTCCTGGAACTTACTCTGTAGACCAGGCTGGCCTCAAACTCACAGAGATCCACCTGCCTCTGTCTCCTGAATGCTGGATTTTTTTCCTTTTTGGGTGGTGGTTCAAAACAGGGCTTCACTGTGTAGCCCTGGCTGTCCTGGAACTCGCTATATAGACCAGGCTGGACTCAAATTCAAAGAGTCACCCGTCTCTGCCTCCCAAGTGCTAGAAAGGACGCATTACAATTGACTGCACATTTAAAAAAAAAAATCATGAACATTTGTGACTTTTTTTTTTTACATCTAAGCTTTCAGGAAAATGTTTACGACAAGGCTAGTGTGGTGGTTCACACACTTAATGCCAGCACCAGAGTCAGAGGCAGAGGGATCTCTGTGAGTTTCAGGTAAGCTGAGTCTACACAGTGAGGTTCAGGACAGCCAGGGCAAACCATGTCTCAAAAAAGAAAGGAAGGAAGGGCGGAAGGGAGGGAGGGAAGGAGGGAGGACGAACAAATGAGAGGCTGGGTTTGGTGGCTTACACTGTAATTTTAGCACCTGAGAGGCGGATATACAGGAGGATTACAAGTCAAAATCAAATTAAAAGAGAGAGGCAATGTGGTTGGGCAGGGGTGAGCGTTGAGTTGGAAAGATCCTCACCTTCCATCCGATTCCCTCAGTACTGGGCACAGGGTCACTGTAATTCAAACCTCCAACACATCCGGCTGTGGGTGACATTACAACTCCTGGTCAGCCCCCTACGGCTTCCACCTCAACTACTTCCCTGCCCATGGGCCTGGGAGGAAAGCCCATGCAGGTTCATGGACCTTACCTATTTTCTTTGATGGTGGTGTCTGAATATCACCTCCATCGGGAAGGTAGCTGAGACCTGGGTTCTCTTTACAGATTCTTCATGCGTTTTACAAAAGTCTTGTTTCCGTGTATTCATGAATACAGTCAATTCGATTGAGAAAATTCTGCCTTTGGCCTCTTGGTCAGCTTTACAAGCAAAATGCGTGTAGGCTCCGGTGCAAACACTGGAGTCAGCATGGCTGCGGTACCCAAACTCAGCCACACGTCTTGTGGCATCATGGCATAGTGAGTGCTTTGGTCTTTGTCCCTATTTCCTGGTGCATAATTGCTAACATCATAATGGAGTCATGCCTTAGTATCCACAGGGGCTCAGCTCTAGGCCAACTCCCTCCCCCACACTAATATATACCCTAGTCCCCATACAGAATGTCCATGTGTTTGCCTGGAAGTCTTGAATAAGCCCACTGACTCTAAATCAGCTCTCTTGAGTTCATATAATCTCTTTCTTTTCTGAGACAGGGTTTCTCTATGTAACCCTGACTGTCCTGGAACTCGCTCTGTAGACCAGGCTGACCTCAGACTCAGAGATCAGCCTGCTTCTGCCTCCTGTGTGCTGGGATTAAAGGTGTGCACCACCAACATCGGCTCCATAATTTCTCATACAATATAATGTTCTCCCAATAAATACCTGCTGTACTGTGTTACTGGAGATGATAGAAAAAGGTATGTACATGTTTAATAAAATTCAGCTTTAAAAAGCAACTTTTGCTTTATGGTGGTGGTGCAGGCCTTTAATCCCAGCACTTGGGAGGCAGAGGCAGGAGGATCCCTGTGAGTTCCAGGCCAGCCTGGTCTACAGAGAGAGTTCTAGGACAGCCAGGGCAGCATGGAGAAATCCTGTCTCTAAAAAACGAAAAAAGAGAGAAAGAAAGTATTAAGGTGTGGTGTACGGTCCCTGGAGATAAAGCTAGGGAAGTTGTAGCTCAGCGCGGTGGCTCACACCTGTTTTTGCTTCAGCACTTTGGAGGCCAAGACAGGAAGACTTACTGCCTAAATTGGAATTACGGGCCTTAGCTAAAAAGGTTATTTCAGTTACTTTCCTTGCTGGGGATGTAGCTCAGTGGTCGTACCTGCCTATAGTGTACACGATCCCGGGCTCAATCCGCTCAGCACTGCAGAATTAACTGACTAGATAAATGACTTTCTTTGTAAGGCTGACCTTGGCAGCTAGAAAGGTGGGAAAGTAGCTGATTACAGAGCACTGGTTCACTTCAGGAAGGCTGTTTGGAGGAAGGATTAGGGCTGAAAGTGGCCTGTTTGGGAATTATTTGGGAAATAGGTCTGGGAGGCTTTACGTTGGCCAGGGACCGTGGCCTCAGCAATTCCATGCTGACATTTAGCTTGGTCTGCAGACCCATGGCGAACCCCAGAAGTGCCCTGTTATTCCTGCACACCTGCTTTGCCGCTGGGTCCCGAATCACCACCAGCTGGGGCTGGGAGCCCTTTCCTCCGTCTTGGGCCATCGCTTCTGGGCTCCTTTTTTCCCTCTAGAGATTTTATTTTTATGTGTGCTTTGTCTGCACGTATGTAGACGCACCAGGTGTGCTGTGCTCTAGTTTTGGAAGCACACTCAGGATTGCTGTGTCCTGCCTGCCTCACAGACAATTTCATCTGGAACACTCCTTGTTGAGATGTCTACTTTACCTTAATCCTTCCACAGAGAAATTAGCCTAAAGCAGCTGTGTTAGCCCGTCAGTTATTTTTCCATTGCAGGATTCTTGGTTTTCTTTTTTGTTTGTTTTTGGAGACAGGGTTTCTCTACGTAACAGTTTTGGCTTTGTAGACCAGGCAGACCTTGAACTCGCTGAGATCTGCCTGCTTCTGCCTCCCAAGTGCTGTGATTATAGGCGTAGACCACCACCATAAAGCAAAAATTGCTTTTTAAAGATGAATTTGTATTAAACATGCCACCACCACCCAACCTGATTCTCGGCTTTCTTAATCTGTCTTTAGTTTTTTTTTTAAAGAGAGGTGTGTGTGTGTGTGTGTGTGTGTGTGTGTGTAGGGGTCTCAGTGGTGTGGTGACCTACTTCTGTAATCTCAGCAGACAGGAGGAAGAGTTCAAGGTCACTCTGGGCTGTGTTAGACCCAGTCTTAGAAAAAAAAACTGGGTGTGGTGGCGCAAACCTTTAGCCCTAGAGCATTTGGGATATAGAGGCAGGTGGATCTCTGTGAGTTCAAGGCCAGCCTGGTCTACAAAGCCAGTTCCAGAACAGGCTTGATGGGGCTGGAGAGATGACTCAGTGGTTGAGAGCACTGGATTCTCTTCCAGAAGACTCAAGCTCTATCCTCAGCTCACAACTGTCTCTGACTCTAGTCCAGAGTGTATATGCTCTCTTCTGGCCTCAGACATACATGTAGGCAGAACATCCATGTGTACAAAATATACATGCTTCCTGTGCTGGTCAGCGACTTCTTGGTTCATTTGACCCACCTGCCTTGTTCTCAGGAGTAGTTGTGACTGACTGACTACACAGGTGTCTCTGGAGTAGCTGTGACTACACAGGTGTGTGTCACCGCCACGATGTGTAGACTCCTGAGAACTGGACATAACTGAATCTGGGCTCTTTACTCCCAGTTAGTTAACAGAGTGTTGTTGTTGTTGTTGTTGTTTTTTTGGTTTTTTTCGAGACAGGGTTTCTCTGTGGTTTTGGAGCCTGTCCTGGAACTAGCTCTGTAGACCAGGCTGGCCTCGAACTCACAGAGATCTGCCTGCCTCTGCCTCCCAAGTGCTGGGATTAAAGGCGTGCGCCACCATCGCCTGGCAACAGAGTGTTTTGATCATGACATTAGATATACTTTATTGCATGAGGTTGGAGATTATTCTCTTACACATGCCAGGCAAGACTTTTTTTGCTTGTTTTTCTTTTCTTTCTTTTTTTCTGTGTAGCCTTAGCCATTCTGGAACTCTTACCTTGGCTTCCCACATACTAGGATGACACACGTGTGTCTCCGTGCTTACTTATGCGGTGTTGGCATGAATGGAACCACGGATTCTAGGTAAGCACTCCTATCAAGTGAATGTCCTCAGCCCCCTAGTGTTCTAACACCAGGGTGGATGGAACCACGGATTCTAGGTAAGCACTCCTATCAAGTGAATGTCCTCAGCCCCCTAGTGTTCTAACAAACACCAGGGTGGATGGAACCACGGATTCTAGGTAAGCACTCCTATCAAGTGAATGTCCTCAGCCCCCTAGTGTTCTAACACCAGGGTGGATGGAACCACGGATTCTAGGTAAGCACTCCTATCAAGTGAATGTCCTCAGCCCCCTAATGTTCTAACACTGAGCTACATTCAGGCCATAGTGGCTTCTGTCTGTCTGTCTGTCTATCTATCTATCTATCTATCTATCTATATCTATATAATTTGATTTTTTTCCTTCAGAGGCTCTAGCTGTCGTGGAACACATTCTTTTCTTTTTATCTTTTCTTTTTTTTTTTTTTTGAGACAGGGCTTTTTTGTCCTGGAACTTGCTCTGCAGACCAGGCTGGCCTTGAACTCACAGAGGTCCGCCTGCCTCTGCCTGTGGGGTTAAAGGACTGCACCGCCACACCTAGCTGGGCATTTTCTTGCATCACTGAACTTCCCTTCTGTTTCTCAAAGAAGCCTGGGCTGCCATCTAGGCACCTGAAGACCTCCTGCAGCGGCTCCTGCTGTGCCACATTCCCTGGGAATGTCCCTTGCATTGTCTGGAGCCTGAGCACCCCAACCTGGCAGAGTTCTGGAGACTTCTTTTTATTAGCATTTTTTTCCTCTTCCTCCCCTTAACTCTTCTTTAGGTCTCTCTCCCTGTTTCTTGAGGTCTCAGCTATATACCCTATGCTGACTTAAAATGTTTTTTGGGGGGGTTGTTGGGACAGAGTCCCACGTGTGGTCCTGGCTGACCTTGATCCTGTGGCGTCCTCTTGCACTCTGGTGGACAAACAGAGCCCTGGGCAGGCCCGACAGGGCTCCAGCACCCAGGGAGCCTTCAGCCCCCAGCCTCACGTGTGGATGTGTCGTAGGGTATTGAAGGCTCTTGTCTGCATAGTTCCTCTCTTTCTTTAGACTTGGCCTCAACTGCCACCCTTCCCTGCCTCTCCAAGTTCCGTTCTCCATCTCCTCAGCCTGTACCGCCTGCTCACCACTGTTCCTTGCAGCCCAAAGTGGCCTCCATTCAGATGACCTGGTGACCTGGAATTGGCCTCTGTCCCTCTACCCAGGGTGCTGGCAGTGATGCCCATCCTCCTATCTGCACACAGCTGTTTGGTATCTCGGCGAATCTGGTTCTTATCACCACAGCTTGCTAAGCAGGAGTGAGTGCCAGACATTCTATAGCCCTAGAATAAATACCACTAAAAAGCAAGCCAATGTGATTATTTCTAAACGTATTTGCTTTGTTTCAGAAGTGACTTCAACATGTTGCTTTCCTGAGTGGCTATCATCATTTCCTCGTAACCATTTCAAAAAACCAACAGATCTCGGAGGCACTGAGCCTCAGCATTGTGGAGTCTCCTTCGCCCTGAAGGAATTCAGCGCAGGCAGCAAACAGGTTGCTCGTTCGCTTCAGGATCTGTACGGTTTGCTTGATTCATTTTTTCTAAAGCACTTTTTTCCCTTTTTTTTTTTTTTTTATAAAAAAATACTTTTAAGCCGGGCGGTGGTGGCGCACTCCTGTAATCCCAGCACTTGGGAGGCAGAGACAGGCGGATCTCTGTGAGTTCGAGGCCAGCCTGGTCTACCAAGGGAGTTCCAGGACAGGCTCCAAAGCTACAGAGAAACCCTGTCTCGAAAAACCAAAAAAAAAAAAAAAAACAAAAAAAACTTTTATTGTATGTGAGATTGTGTTGGAACCCCAGCAACTGGAGTCCTGACAACTGTAAGCCGCTATGCGGGTGTCTGGACTCAAACTCGGGTTCTCTGGAAGAACAGCCAGTACTCGTAACTACGGAGCCACCTCTCCAGCGCTTGCACTGGTTCTGCAGAGGCAGATCCGAGACGCGGTGGGGTATGCACAGGCCTCAGAGAAGTGTCACTGGCAGAAGGCTCCCATCCAGGAGCAGGGACCAGGCTACAGGCAGAGATGCCGAGAAACAGGGAGGAGCCTTGGTCTCTTGGCTGTGGAGCAAGGCCTCTGTGAGGGTGGGCCGGGGGACGTGACCCAGGTCTGCACAGGGCTCTCTGCCCTCCCAGAGCTGTTCCCAGGCTCTTCTTGGTCTGTATAGCTCACCCTGGCTACCAGGCCGTATGCCCACCTTCCCTGGGTTACTGAGACCTAGGGGACTCTGTCCATTCTCCTGTGTGAGGAGCAGGCGGGAAAGGAATGCGGTGTTCTGGATTGGCTTACACAGTCACGCGCTGTTCTTGGAGGCCCCGTCCCCAGCTCTTCACTTGGGTTTCCTTATCACAAATATGCATCACACCAGTGCATTACTGTCTCCCACGAGGACGTCTTGGCTGCTCTCCTGAGCTCTCCTGTGTTTCACAAGAGACACCAAGCGCCTGTGGAGGCCAGACAGTGGCAGGTCTGCTAACAGGGACTCCAGGTTAAGAAGCGTCAGAGGAGGGCAGGTTGGGGCTAAGACTAACAGATCAGGAAGGCATCATCCTGACAGCCACACCAGCATCCTGAGGCTAGCCTGTTTGCCTGATAGGGTTAGAGCAGAGACTGCCCCGTCTTTGCTTTCCTTTAGGCCTTTTCATTTCTTTCCTCCCTGCTTCCTCTTTCTTTTCTCTCCTGTCTCCCCTCCTTCCCTTCCTTCAACAATTTTTATCTTTCGTGTGTGTGTGTGTTGCCCACCTGTATAACATATGTACCACGTGCATGCCTGGTGCCCATGGAGGTCAGAAGAAGGTGTCAGAGTGTTGGAGTTTCTGGAACTGGAGTTATGGATGGTTGTGAGCCATCATATGGGAGCTGGAATTGACCTCAAGTCCTCTGCAAAGCAACAAGTGCCTTTAACCACTGACCCATCTCTCCAGTGCTCAAACTCAGAGATCTGCCTGCCTCTGCCTCCCAAAGTGCTGGGATCAAAGGCATGGGCCACTGTGCCTGGCTATAGCCACTACTCTTAACCGCTGAGTCATCTTGCCAGTGCTCCAGGCAGGCCGGTTTCCATTGACAGTGAGGCTGCTGTTCGGGCCTACGAGGCTGTCCAGTGAGACGGAGGCCAGCCTGGCTGCAGGAGTGTGCTGCTTCCCAAAAACTTCTGGGATTAGCCTGTAAATGGTTTAACTCATGAAGTGCTAATGTTCAAACATGAACATTTTAATTTAATTAAGTTTTTAAGTTTTAAAAAAAGATTTATTTGTATAGATATTCTTCCCTGCATGTTAAGTGTGTGCACTGGATGTACGTCCAGTCAGAAAAGGGTGTCGGATGCCCTGGAACTGAAGTTAGAGACGGTTGTGAGCAGTGACAGGAGTGTTGGGTTGGGAATCAAATCCAGGTCCTTGGTAGGTAAAAGAAACAGGGTTGGGTTTTGTTTGTTTGTTTGTTTTTTTCTAAGCTATCTCTCCAGCCCTCCCCCCCTCTCTGTGTAGCCCTGGCTGCCCTAAAACTTGCTCTGCAGACCAGGCTGGTATCAAACTCAGAGAGATCCACCTACCTCTGCCTCCTGAGTGCTGGATTACAGTATCTTAATTTTTATTGTATTTTATTGATGTTTTGCCTGTACGTCTGTGTGAGGGTGCTGGATTCTGGAGTTACAGACAGTTGTGAGCTGCCATGTGGGTGCTGGGAATCGAACCCGGGTCCCCTGGAAGAACAGTCAGTGCTCTTAACGGCTGAGCCTTCTTTCCAGCCTCAATATCTTAATTTTCTTTTGAGACAGGACCTCTCTGTTATGTAGCTCTGGCTGCTCTGGAACTCCATATGTAAACCCGACTGGCTCCAAACTACAGAGAGCTTAACTACCCCCCTCAGCCTCCCAAGTGCTTGGTAAAGGTGTGTGCCTAATTAGGAATTAAGGGTTCCTAATGTTTGAGACGAGGTCTCTCACTGAGTCTGGAGCATCCTGTTTCAGCTAGACTGACTTGCTTATGCCCAAGATCTGCCATGACAGGTACATGTTGCCCATCCCCACCCCCGGCTTATTTGGGTGCTGGATCTGAACTCAGGTCCTCACATTTGATCTGCAAGCACGTTCACCCACAAAGGTATCTCCTCAGGTCACAGAAAGAACTGTTTTACAACTGGCACACACCTCTAATCCTAGCACTCCAGAGGCAGGCAGGTAGATCTTTGAGTTCAATGCCAGCATGGTCTATGGAGCAGAGTAAGTTCCAGGAAGGCCAGGGCTTACACAGAGAAGAAAAACAAACAAAAGAACTGTTTTGTTTTTGTTCTCAAGGTGAACATTTTAAAGAAATGTCTAGTTTCTCTGGAAACAGAAGCTTATTGGGTCCACAGAGCCAGGGAGGAGCCACTGTGGGTGTGCCCAGGCCCAGCCCAGTGCCCTCTTCCTGACTGCTCCCCTCTCCCCCACTCTCCTTCTCTGCTGGAAACACTCAGGCCTGGAGTGCTCTCCTGGTGAGGCCTGAGGTGGAGGGTCTGGGACAGGGAAGCTCTACAACAGGCCAGACAAGGAGCAGTTGTTGAGTTCTTTCTGTTTTTTCCTCCTGGATCTCTAAGACAAGCTTGGTGAAAGAGTGGCCACTGTTACTGTTAGCGTCTGCACAGACGCTGAGCTGTGTAAGTAGAATTTAAGAAATGGCTTTGAACTACAGGGTATTTTATCTTAATAATTCAAATGACAAACCATTTTTTTTTCTTTTGCTTTTAAACTCAAGAATGTAGCCCAGGCTAGTTTTGAATTCACTGCGTAGCCCAGGCTGGCCTTGAATTCATGATGATCCTCTTCCCTCAGCCTACCAAGGGCGAGAATTATAGGCCTGTTCCATGAGAATGAGCTAAAAAAAAATCACAACATTTTAAAGAAATAAACCAAGCCTCCCATTGCGTTGCATGATGTCCAGCCATTAGCTTGATGAGAGAAGCAGACCAACTGCAGGAGCCCGCGCTGACGGGGAGGGGCTGGGCTAGGCCCAACTAGTACCCACATTCCTCGGCACTTCCACGCCCATGACCCTCTGGCCGTGGGACAACCTTAGTCCTCCTGCTACACCTCCCTTTCCCGCCCAGTTCTGGTTGGGTCTGTGTTTTCTGGAGCTTGGGAGATCTGCATCCAGTCAGAAGCAGCTATCCGGTGACTGTGATCTGGCCTCAGTTTTCACTTGAAAATGGGGACATGGTATCTACACACCCTGCACACCTCAAACCAAGAACTTGCCTGGTACTGAGGGTCAGGCCACTCCCTCCTGGGACCCCCTCAATCCCTGGCTCCTGCAGGTATAAACCTTCGGCCCTGCCTCTAGCCTTCCAGCGCCTGTCCCTTTCCTATTAGAAGGTTCCTGTCTAGAGCACCTGTCTACCTTCCCAATTGCCCTCTGTGGCACAAATCCACATTAAACCCAACCATGAAGCTTCATCACTGCTGGGAGGGGCGGTGCCCACCTTTAATCTCAACACTCAGGAGGCAGAGGTAGGTTGATTTTTTAGTAAATTCAAGGCCAGCCTGGACTATCTTGTGCGTGGTTCTGGGTCAGTCAGTGCTATGAAGTCATACCCTATCTTAAAAGCAAGCAAACAAAAAACTAAACCAGCAACAAACTGAACAACAACAAAACAAGTGATTGCTAATTAAGGAGCTGGAAGCAGGAGGACCCGAAGTTCAAAAGTCATTTTACGCTACACAGAGTTTGAAGCAAGCCTGAACTACAGGAAACTGTTTTAAAAACAAAACAAACTGCCAGGCGGTGGTGACGCACGCTGTGACCCCAGCACTCGGGAGGCAGAGACAGGCGGATTTCTGTGAGTTTGAGGCCAGCTCAGACTATGGAGTGAGTTCCAAGATAGGCTCCAAAGCTACAGAGAAACTCTGCCTCGAACCCCACCCCCAAACCCACCCCCAAAAACTATAGACTAAAACCAAAAATGAAGTATCAATTTTCATTTATCAGACTGAGAAAAAGACAAGGGACAAAGTCCAGGGTGCTGGATGGAGAGTGTGGCTTTCCACCCTGCAGGCAACTGCAGGCACAGGGCCAGGTCTTTTCAGAACAATTTGGTAACATTTCAAACTACTCACACCTTTGACCCAGCTATTTCCCGTCTAGATAATTGTCCAACCGTGAGCTCCCACGAGCACAAGGACACAAACCACACCACCGCATCTAGTGCGGAAGACGACGTAGGGGGGACCTTGAGACAAAGGAGCTTCGCAGTGCTGTGGACCACTGAAAAGATCTGCTAGCCTGTATACTGTGAAAAGAC